GGCGCAAAGTCAATCTCCACTATTTGCAAATAACTGATGATACTGTAAGACATTGGTGGAGACAGCCCTAGACAGTTTGTGGCTTGAAAAACACTGTACTGGAAATTTCTTTAAAATAAAAAAAAAAAAAGGATACTACAAACTGGAAAGTTTGCAAGATAGAGCGAATTTGATATTTACAAGGAAGTTTGTGGCCTTAGATGTGTGTATTAAAAGTAAAACTGAACATTATTTAAGCTGTTTTCTCACGACAATACTGGAAACTGTACTTGCGCCTTCTACCACATCAGGCAAACACTCCACCCCTGAACTATTGCCGCCATTAGCTAAGCATTAGTGGGGAGAACAAAAATGAGCATTATGAAAACCCAAAGAAAGAATTAGAGAATAAAGATAAAGACATATTCTACCGAAAACAATGGAATTTTAAAATCCGTCAGGAACATCAAAAGGAGTCCTGTTCTTTCTCTTTTGCTTACTTTCCACTGTGGAAACTTCCAAATACGGGAGCGAGCATAGCGTGGAGCCCTGCTGACTCAGCTCAGTGGGTTATATTTACTTCATCATCCTCCCAACCTCCAATGCTTTACCCGCGGAGTCAGGGGAAGGGGTGGACTAGGAGAATGAACTTTTAGCAAACTCTTGAATTTAAAAAAGCAGGCTCTGGGCAGGCAGCGTGGCTTAGCAGGGAAAAGAGCTTGCTCACGAACGAGCCCGAAGACCTAAGTCTAACCCCCAAAGAGTCGTCCCCTGACACCGGCTTGTGTGCCACCCCGCCCCGCCCCCACATATACGCAACAGCAATAGTAAAATAAATAAATAAGCAAAAGGAGGCACAGTAAAAAAAAAAAGGAAAAACTTAAGGTTCAGCAAGAGTCAAAATGTGGGACTATTAGAACCCGTTTACTAATCTTTCTGAAATTTGAGACATTGCTATATAATTTTTAAGAGTACGTGAATTAACAACATTTTGGCAGGACTAAGAGTAGTAAAAGTCACTATAGTGTGGGGTTAGACGGACGAGTTCTGCGGTTGGAATGCAGACTGGCTGGGATCGATTTTGGCTCTGTTACAGATGGTGAGCCAGACAAGCAAGCTGCTCGCCTCTCCTCACGTGTGAAATGGTATATAATTGCACTGCCCCCAGAGATGGCTGTGTTGGCTAAGCAAGCATCACCTGGGGAATGACGCCGCTTAGAGGAAAAGCTGGCGTTTGGTGTTTTATCTCCGCCGGTGTGTTAAAAGGAAAAGAGCAAGAAGCCCCGGTCACCAAAAGCATCTTCCCCCAAAAGGAGAGCAGCGGTAAAGATTGCTACATTCAGAACAGATCGTCCCATCTTATACACATTGTTCCAGATAATAGCCAAGGACAAAGCCATTCCAATCATTTTACGAGACGATATAATCTCATTCCTAAACTAGTCAGGGACAGCATATTCCACCCCATCTAGAGACATCCGTGGAACCAATCTGAAATCTTTGCAAACCCAGATAAGTGCAGAAGAAACATTTTAAAAATAAGGACAAGCTTGATTTCCCCCAGGAAGGCATAGAAGACTTAGCTGTGTAAAAAACAAAAACAAAAATAAGAAAGAACAGCTATGTTATTTATCAAATAGCAGATTAAAAGGCACAGTCCTTGGATGACAGCTCTGGGCACCGAACAGCGCTCAGGAATACATAGTGTTTGCTTGTGATTTAGAAAGGGCAACAAACACCAAAGCAAGAAAAACTGAAAAGTCTTGGCCTCGTAAAAAAGCATCTAAAAACTACATTGTGTAATGCATTAATGCGTTATAATGTATATAATAGTGGCTTTTCCATTCAAGGTAGGAGCGAGAGGCTGGTGTGGGACAGAGGCGTACAGTCCCAACACTTGGAAACAGAGGCAAAAAGTTGGGAATTGAAGGCCAGCCTTAGCGACATGGAAAGTTTGGGGTCAGCCTAAGGTACATGAAACTCTGTCTCCAAAGCACAGAAACAGAAACAAGAGAGAGAGAGAGGATGAGGAGGAGAAGGGAGGAGAAGGGAGACCTGATAATTTCTTTTGGCGGTCTATTATAAAGCCTAGGCATTCCTACAGAACTATATTTTCTCTAGATGAATCATAAATGAATCCAGTTCTACTCTTACAAGCCAATATTTATACAATGTGGGAAAATTTCTCACTGAAAATAATCAAATGCCTAAGACCGCAAAGCAAACATTTGTAAGCATTTTTAAATTAACTTTTATTTAAATTAAAAACAATCCTATTTTACGTACCAATCCCAGTTTCCTCTCCCTTCCATCCTCCCATTGCCCCCACCAACCCCCCATCCCACCCACTCTTCAGGGAAGGGGAGGCCTCCCATGGGGGATCATTAAAGTCTGTCACATCATTTGGGGCAGGACCTAGGCTCTCTCTGGTGTATCTTGGCTGAGAGAGTATCCCTCCATGGGGAATGTACTCCCAAAGCCCATTCCTGCATGAGGGATAAATACTGTTTCCACTGCCAGAGGCACCATAGACTGCCCAGGGCCCCCAACTGACACCCACATTCAGGGGGCCTGGTTTGGTCCTATGCTGGTTCCCCAGCTATCAGACTGGTGTCCATGAGCTCCCACTTGCTCAGGTCAGCTGTTTCTGTGGGTTTCCCCAAAATGGTCTTAACCCCTTTGCTCATCACTCCTCCCTCTCTACAACTGGGTTCCAGAAGTTCTGCTCAGTGCTTAGCTGTGAATCACTGATTTTGCTTCCATCAACTACTGGATGAAGGCTGTAGAAGGCATGAAGGTAGTCATCAATCTCATTGTAGGGGAAGGGTGTTTAAGGTAGCCTCTCCACCATTGCTTAGATTCTTAGCTGGGGTCATTTTAGTAGATCTCTGGAGATTTCCCTAGTGCCATAATGGCTCCCTCTAATAAGGACTCTCTTTCCTTGCTCTCCCTCTCTGTTCTTCCCCCAACTCAACCTTCCTGATCCCTCATGTTCTCCTCCCCCCTCCCCTTCTCTCCTCCCTTTCTCCTACTTCCCCCCAACCGTGCTCCCAATTTACTCAGGAGATCTTGTCCCCTTTCCCTTCTTGGAGGTCCCTGTATGTCTCTTTTAGGGTCCTCCTTGTTTACTAGCTTCTCTGGAGGTGTGAATTGTAGACCGCTAATATTTTGCTCTATGTCTAATAACCATATATGAGTGAGTACATACCATGCTTGTCTTTCTGTGACTGGGTTACCTCACTCAAGATGGTTTCTTATAGTTCCCTCTATTTGCCTGCGAATTTCAAGATGTCATTGTCTTTTTCTGCTGAGTAGTACTCCATTGTGTAAATGTACCACATTTTCCTTCCAGGTTCTGGCTATTACAGATAATGCTGCTATGAACATAGTTGGACAGATGTCCTTGTGGTGTGAATGTCCATCCTTTGGGTATATGCCTAAGAATGGAATTGCTGGATCTTGAGGTAGACTGATTCCCATTTTCCTGAGAAACTGCCATACTGATTTCCAAAGTGATTGTACAAGTTTGTAATGGAGGAGTGTTCCCCTTTTTCCACATCCTCTCCAGCATAAACTGTCATTGGTGTTTTTGATTTTACATTCTGACAGGTGTAAGATGGTATCTCAGAGTTGTTTTAATTTGCATTTTCCTGATAGCTAAAGATGCTGAACGATTTTTTAAGTGCCTTGTAGCCATTTGAGATTCCTCTATTGAGAATTCTCTATTTAGATCTGTACACCCATTTTTTAATTGGATTATTTGGTGTTTTGGTGACTAACTTCTTGAGTTCTTTGTATATTTTGGAGATCAACCTTCTGTCAGATGTGGGGTTGGTGAAGCTCTTTTCCCAATCTGTGGACTGCGTTTTGTCTTGTTGACTCTGTCCTTTGTCTTACAGAAGCTTCTCAGTTTCAGGAGGTCCTATTTATTAATTGTTGATCTCAGTGTCTGTGCTACTGGTGTTATATTCAGGATAAGGTCTCCTGTGCCAATTCGTTCAAGGGTGTCTCCTGCTTTCTCTTCTAAGAGGTTCAGTGTGGCTGATTTTATGTTGAGGTCTTTGATCCATTTTCATTTAAGTTTGATGCAGGGGATAGATATGTATCTATCTGCAATCTTCTACATGCCAGCATCCAGTTATGCCAGCACCATTTGTTGAAGATGCTTTTTTCCCATTGTATAATTTTAGCTTCTTTGTCAAAAATCAAGGTCATCAATTCAATTCCATTGGTTAACCTGTGTGTGTTTGTGCCAATATCAAGCTCTTTCAGGACTATAGCTCTATAATAGAGCTTGAAGTCAGGGATGGTGATGCCTCCTGGAGTTCCTTTATTGTACAGGGTTGTTTTGGCTATCCTGGGCCTTTTGTTTTTCCATATAATGTTGAGGATTGTCCTTTTGAGGTCTGTGAAGAATTGTGCTGGGATTTTGATGGAGATTGCATTGAATCTGTAGATTGCTTTTGACAAGATTGCCATTTTTCCTATGTTAATCCTACCTATCCAAGAACATGGGAGATCTTTCCGTTTTCTGATATTTTCTTTAATTTCTTTCTTTAAAGACTTAAAGTTATTTCATACAGGTCTTTCACTTGTTTGGTTAGAGTTCCTCAAGATATTTTATGCCATTTGTGGCTATTGTGGAGTGATATTTCTCTGATTTCTTCCTCAGATCATTTATTGTCTGTATATAGTAAGGCTACTGACTTTTTTTTTGAGTTAATCTTGTATCCTGTCACTTTAATGAAGGTGATAGAATTTTTCGGGTCACTCATGTAAACTATCATATCATTTGCAAATAGTGAAGGTTTGACTTCTTCCTTTTCAATTTGTATCCTTTTGATCTCCTTTTGTGGTCATTGCCAAACTCTTTTTATGATGCTCCAATTACCTTGGTACCCAAACCACACAAAGACACATTAAGAAGAGAACTACAGACCAATCTTCCTCATGAACATTGATGCAAAAATACTCAATAAAATACTGGCAAATCGAATCCAAGAACACATCAGAAAAATCATCCACCATGATCAAGTAGGCTTCATCCCAGGGATGCAGGGATGGTTCAACATATGAAAGTCTGTTAATGTAATCCACCCCATTAACAATCTGAAAAAGAAAAACCACGTGATCATCTTACCAGATGCTGAAAAAGCCTCCGACAAAATCTAACACCCCTTCATGATAAAGGTTTTAGGGAGATAAGGGATAAAAGAACATACCTAAACGTAATAAAGACAATATACATCAAGCCAACAGCCGACATTAAACTACATGGAGAGATACTCAATGTAATTCCTCTAAAGTCAGGAACAAAACAAGGCTGTCAATTCTCTCCATATCTCTTCAATATTGTACTTCAAGTTCTAGCTAGAGCAATAAGACAACAAAAGATTTGTAAGCTTTTTAACTGAGAAATTATCAGTGTTGTTGAAGCTTTGCTGAGTTAATCTTAATGAACTTGTCCCCTGAGAGAAGAATCAGTATGGTAAATCTTTGTCCTCAAAACATGGGCCTGTGCAATCCTGATACAAGTCCTAACATAACACGTTATACATTTACTTTATAATTCATGTGGGAGAAGAAAAGTCCAAAAATAGCCAGTACAGTGCTGAGAGTATCAAGAAAGAACTATGTATTTTACTACATACCAACGTCTATTATAGAGTTGATTAAGTGGAAGAGTTGTTTTAACCTGAGCTGCCCATGAGCAGTTTCGAAATTCTCAAAACAAGTCATCATATAGAGACCATTGTCACCGAGGGATCCTGGTACCATATACCAGGAGGCTGTGTTAAGAGAGCTGAGCTTCTTGAGGGGAGGCGGGGTGTGGGATTCTTACCTGAAGCAAAAGAGAAAAGAGAAGGCTTATTAGGTTGAACTCAAGTGTGACAAAACTTGACAACTAGGAGAAAACATGGGGAAGGGCTTTGAGAAGTTGGAGCAGGAAATACTTAACAAATCCCAAGGGAAAAGGCTGGACCCTCAGACCTGGTCAAAGTGTGAACTTCTGAGTGGCAAATGACCTGAAGTCTTGCTCAAGAGAAAGATTAGCTCAGTACATTTGTCACTCCACTCATGCAAGAGGGGTATTACCCAAAGTCTATTATCGATTTTATTTTTATTTTAATTATGTGTTAATTAAAGAAGAGGGCACTGGATGCCTCAGAGCTAGAGGTCAGGGGATGCCCAGTGTGGGTGCTGGGAATCAAACCCTGGTTCTGCAAGAGCAACGAGTGTTCTTAGCCACTGAGCCATCTCGAGCTTCTGGGGCGTGTTTCTGAGTCATTCTGGCACCATGACAGAGAGATGACCAGTCCTTGGTCACAGCCGCCCATGACCATGAGATTCTGTCATAAGGCAGTCTTGAGCCTCTTCTGAAGCTCCGAGAGTGTCCTATACACAGGAGCCATAGGATTCTTGATCAGAGGTGACCCGGAGCCCTGGGAACTTCAGAACCTCATCCAGGGTTGCAAGCACCAACATGTCAATGAGGGAATGGTCTTTGAACTCTGTGGAGCTCACGGTGGAGTTTGCTGGCAGTGCGCCCACACTCGGGGTGAGAGCCACACCTAGTGCATAAGCGCAGAAAGCCTCTGGGTAAGACACGTCAGAGTCTCACTCCAGCTCCTCTTGAGTAAGAATCGGTAAGAGAGCTTCGCCACACGGCCTAGGTCAAATTCCCGGCCCTGCCTCCTTCTGCTCTGACCGGATTGTGAGGGTACCGGTACGTTCTGTGCTCGAACGTTCCTCTCTCCATCAGGGTTTGGATCATTCAGTGCTGCTCCCTTTCCGCACTTGCTCCAAGCATCCCTCCCCCAACAATTCCCGGAAAGCTTTTCTAAGATGCTGCTGCGGCTCTGTCTCTGACCTGGGCTCTCTGTGCCTGGGTCCGCCTTCTGAAGCTACTGAAGCCGTCTGTGGAAGCCAGCAATGGGCACGAAGTATTAAACCCCTTTCGACAAGAGTCGCTTCCGGCTGAAGACAAGTCCCTGGTGCCTGCGGCACACAGCATGACCCGAGGGACCCCGTGAATCACGTCCTGCTCTGCTTCTTACCGAACAAACGGCTTTGCTCTTAATGTCACAGATGAACTGAAACATGGCCACTGGCCACTGATGACAGTAGTCGTCATAATCCAGAATTTCGTGGGAGTTCTTTTGTTTCTCTGAGATACCCACCAAGCTTCTCTCCTTACATGGAGACAGCATGAATGTAAAGGGAGGGAGAGAGACAGCGTGAACGTGTGACGTGAGGGAGAGCCCTCAGAACGTGGAGGGTGTGGTAGACAGATTTTTTTGTCAGTTTTTAATTGAGCTATACATTTTCCCCACTTCCCTCCTCTCCTCTCCCCTTCCACCCTCCCTCTTGCCCTCCACACTTCCGATTTAATCAGGAGATCTTGTATTTTTCCTTTTCCTAGGCAGATCCATGTATGTATCTCTTAGGGTCCTCTTTGTTACCTAGGTTCTCTGGGGTTGTGGCCTGTAGGCTGGTTATCATTTGTTCTATGTCTAATATCCACTTGTGAGTGAGTACATGTTGTATTTGTCTTTCTGGGTCTGGGTTACCTCACTCAAGATGGCTTTTTTCTAGTTCCATCTATTTGCCTGCAAATTTCAAGATGACATTGCTTCTTACCACTGAGTAATTTTCCATTGCATAAATGTATCACATTTTCCTTATCCATTCTTTAGTTGAGGGGCATCTAGGTTTTTTCTGGGTTCTGGCTATTACAAATAATGCTGCTATGAACATTGCTGAACAAGTGTCCTTGTGGTGTGAGTGAACAGCCTTTAGGTAGATGCCCCAAAGCGGTATTGCAGGGTCTTGAGAAACTGCCATTCTGATTTCCAAATCGTCTGTACAAGTTTGCACTCCCACCAACAATGGAGGAGTGTTTCCCTTTCTCCACATCCTCTCCAGCATAAGCTGTCATCAGTGTTTTTTATGTTAGACATTCTGACATGTGTAAGATGGTATCTCACAGTGGTTTTGATTTGGGTTTCCCTGATGACTAAGGATGTTGAACATTTCCTTAAGTGTATTTTGGTCATTTGAGATTCCCCTGTTGAGAGTTCTCTGTTTAGATCTGTACCCCATTTTTATTGGATTATCTGGTCTCTTGATGTTTGATTTTTGAGTTCTTTGTATACTTTGGAGATCAGCACTCTGTCAGAAGTGGGGTTGGTGAGGATCTTTTTCCATTTTGTAGGCTACCATTTTGTCTTGTTGACCATGTCCTTTGCTTTACAGAAGCTTCTCAGTTTCAGGAGGTCCCATTTATCCATTGCTGCTCTCAGTGTCTGTGTTACTGGTGTTATATTTAGGAAGTGGTCTCCTGTGCCAATGTGTTCAAGGCTACTTCCCACTTTATCTTCTATGAGATTCAGGGTGGTTGGTTTTATGTTGAAGTTTTTGATCCGTTTGAACTTGAGGTTTTTTTTCTTATGAATACTGGCTTTTAATAAAGAAACATGCAGTGAACATTGTTTTTTTTTTTATTTTTAGAGACAGGGTGGGTTTCTCTGTGGCTTTGGAGACTGTCCTGGAACTAGCTCTTGTAGACCAGGCTGGCCTCGAACTCACAGAGATCCGCCTGTCTCTGCCTCCCGAGTGCTGGGATTAAAGGCGTGCGCCACCACTGCCCAGCGAACATTGGTTTTTATAGTTAGTAGTTTCTGAAACAAACATAAATCAAGACAGTATGTTCAAATCTCTATGGAGTCACAGAAAAAACTACTAACGTTATCTGATTTCCATTTATGTTTTATAAAAGGTAGTGTTTATGCTGGATTTGATGGTATTTGCCATTTGGTGGTACTAATGACATATCTGGCTTTACAAATTGTCTCACAAGGCAATCTCCTTATTATAAATATCTTATCTATTGGTATACTTACATATGATAAGATTTGACATCTATGTAGGATTCCCTAAAATAATGAATTTTAATGTGGACTTGAGTTTTGTGCATGACAATAGATATGGATCTATCTGCATTCTTCTACATGTCAACCTTCAGTTATGCCAGCACCATTTGTTGAAGATGCTTTCTTTTCTCCATTGTGTAATTTTAGCTTCTTCATTAAAAATCAGCTGTTCATAGGTGTGTGGGTCTTCAATTCAATTCCATTGGTCCATTTGTCTGTTTTTATGCCAATACCAAGCTGCTTTCATTACTACAGCTCTATAGTAGAGTTTGAAAATCAAGGATGGTGATGCCTCCAGAAGTTCTTTTATTGTACAGGACTGTTTTAGCTATCCTGGGTTTCTTGTTTTTCCATATAAAGTTGAGTATTGTCCTTTTGAGGCTTGTGAAAAATTTTGCTGCGATTTTGATGGGTATTACACTGAATCTGTAGATTGCTTTTGGTAAGATTGCCATTTTTCCTATGCAATCCTACCTATCCAAGAGCAGTAGGCAGAATTTTTAAACAGCCTCTGTGGTTTCTTTTTTAAATTTTAGTTTTACTATTTAAAAATATGTGTTTGTGTGTCTTTGTGTGGGTGTCCACATGGGTGTGAGTGCCTGCTGAGGCCAGATAAGTTGGATCCCCTTGAGCTGAAGTTACATGTGGTTGTGGTCCCCAGATGTGGGGTGCTGTGAACTGAACTTGGGTCCTTTGCAAGAGCAGTAAGTTCTTTTAACCACTGTCCACTGAAGTGTGTGTGTGTGTGTGTGTTTATACTCATGCATGTGCACACACAGGTGTGTAGAGGCCAGGAGTTACCATCAAATCTCTCCTTCAATGCTCCCTGCCTTATTTATTTTTTCACGGCAGAGCCTCTCGGTGAACCTGGAACTTGGTAGTTTACTTGACTCGGCTGACCAGTGAACCACAGACCCGCTTGGATTTCGGGTGGTGCTGGGCATCCAAACCCGGATCCTTGCACCTGCTCAGCAAGCGCTTTAACACCCGAACAGCGTCCTCGGCTCCTAGTCTCCATGATTTCCACGCCCAGTGTTCATTGTTGAGTGATTCCGTCCCCTTCAGCTGCGGTGGAGTCTGCAGTTCTTTTTGCAGTTACTAATTAATTGACTGTAAGTTATTAAGAAAGGGGTGACATTCTTAATTGGTGGTCACCAAGGGATGAGATGCTTGAGTTTTACAGCCATGAGAACATGTTTTCTGCCTATGCTGCTGTGTGCCTAGGATACCTCAGGCCACAGGTGAGATACTCCCCAGCTGTCAATCAGACTTTATTAGCCTATGACACCAGAGCCCTTATTCCAAATGGAATCTGCTATGCAGAAAACGAATGAGTGGCTGTCCATCTGGCCTGCCATGGGTCCGGTGTATCTGCAGATAGTGACCCTGAGAGGCAATTCAGTGCATTGGTGTTACTGTGGCTTACCCTGTGGCCTGCCAGGCTGCAGGCCCTTCCTTCATTGAGGTCTTAGAAGAACCATTCTCAGCAGATGTCATGGAACTGATGCTGGGTTTAAAGAATGCATGACTCATGGGCCCCGGGGGAGAAGAGAAAGAGAAGGGGGGCATCCTGGGGGCAGGGAGGGACCTAAGCGCAAGGGCAAGGGGCTCCCACGGAAAAGCGAGGTAAAGGTGCTATTTAGTAGGAAAGACCCTGGCTCCCTTTACATCCAGCACCCTTCACTTGGACCAGCTCCCTGCCCTCACACCCCACATTTATTAGCCAGAGTCAACCAAGCCATGGGCACCAGCATTTCCCTGCCTATTCAAAGTGGAAGTCACGAAGGCTAAGAGGCAGCTTGAGAGTCAGGCTGAATAACCAACCCAAACACAGACACATGACACATGATAGCCACGTAGTGTACCACACCTTCCAGACTATCCCAAGCTCCACTTATCATTTGGTTCCAACAACCTTAGCTACAAAGCTATCTTTCACTATCTTTCACTTCACTTATTGAGGTGGGCCCAGGCTGTCCTTGAACTTGCTTTGTAACAGAGGATAACGTTGGACTTCTTCTGATCCCCTTGCCTTCACTTCTGGAATTCTGGGATTGCAGTCATGCACTACCACATCTAGTTTATACAGTGGTGGGGATGGAGCCTAGGGGCTCGTGTATGCCAGGCAAGCGCTCTAACAGTTGAGCTGCATCCTAGCCCTATTGCTCAGAAGACTGAGATCAAGACCACGTAGCTTAGAAGTGGAGGACTGGGCAGAGAAGTCTGGACCTTCCTCACAACCACCCTGGGCTCACTCATGACTTTCCCCGAGATGTGTCAGGGGTCTTCCTAGTGCCAGGTACAATACCGTATCATAGGGGCATGTCAGCGAGCAAGGCAGACTTGCCCTAACCACCCATCAGATAGATAGCCACGGATTGTACAGGAACTGTACGAGGTTCTACAGGAGCTTAGCTGGAAGACCTGCGCATGTCTGAAAGTCTCCTATGGTAACACCCACCAAGCTACATCCAAAAGCCAACGCTTGTTATCCAAGAGACTGGCGAGGGAAAATATTCCATATGCAGGGAATAGCTTGGCATCTTTGTGCAAAGAAAAAAGCCTAGTAGCATATCTATTGGAGGGAAAAGGGAAGCATAGTAAACTAAGGAGGCAGGGAGAGGCCAGGGGCCTTAACATTCCGGTCAGAATTCTGCATGATTCAGAGAACCATGGGAGCCTTGGCGTCATTAACCGGGAGCTCTCTCTCTCTCTTTCAGATTTGCAGTAAGAAAATACTAATGTGACTGCTGGGTTGGAAGTGGGGTGGGAATAAAGGGGGGAGCAAGAGCAGAGATGGGGAGAGAAATCAGGTCATCACACTCATCCATTGTGAAGGGTTAGGGAGAACACAATGGCAAAGGAGATGCAGGAACAAGTTGGGGCTTATGGGCTTATCAGCGTGGCAGCAGAGAGAGGCAGGGGTCTTAGATTTGTGTTTGGTTCCCCGCCACAGGTGTTCTTTATGCTCCAGCATAAATGGCTCAAGCATTTTTTTCCTTCCAACATAGACAATGTCAGGTCTTTGTTCACTGCCTCTGGAACACAAGGGCAGCCCAGGCAGCAGTCTGAGAAGAGCTTTGCAGAGATCTGTTGTTTCAGAGCCATGCAGCAGCGGGCCAGGCACGGGACTTCATCCTGAGGGTCAGACTCTTAGAGGAG